TTGTGTTTATGAGTGTGTGTGTGTGTGTTTCAGGGTAAATGTGTGTATGTGAGTGAGTGTGTGTGTGATTATTAGTGTGTGTGTTTCAGGGTTAATGTGTGTGTGATTATGAGTGTGTGTGTGTGTGTGTGTGTGTGTGTGTGCGTGTTTGACTGGTGTTTTCTGACCGTTCCTTCAGAGCTCAGCATCCAGAAGCGTCCACGAACCATGACCTCTGATGTGACCTTCCCCCTGAAGGGCTGGCGTGGGATAATCGATTGGGTGCGCAATTCAGAAGAGAAAGTCACAGTGTCCCGCAGAGCTCTGAGTCTAGACGTGCCAGGTACACACACACACACACACACACACACACATATTCTGACATGTGTTTCGTGTGTACTGAGACTAATGCGGCTCTGAATGTGTGTGTAGATGCTGAGCAGAGCACTGGGTTTGTCACCGGGATCGTTCTCTACAGAAATCTGGCTCCCATCCTGTCTTTCCAGAGGTACAAGAGTTAAAACTCTTCTGATTTTAGCGCTTTTTGATTTTTTCAGATTTAAAAAAAAGGGCATTTTCTAGACAAACATCATATGAATTTACTGTTAAATCTCAAAAGTTGTATTCTTGTTAAATAATCAGTTCATTCATATCATTTTAATCAATGTATTATATTTTATTAATATATTAATAAAATATAATATTCATTATTTTATTAATGTATTCAGGATTTTTATTCATTGTTTATTTTACTTATGCAATTTTATTGTTGTTATTAAAATATGTGAACCTTAGAGCAGATAGTGAAGGAAAATCAAAGCAAAGATTAGTGCGGAGTTTCACATGTGACTTTTGACTGATGTGCACCTGATCAATACGAGTGATTCTGATCGATCGATCATCTCTTTCTCCCGCAGCAACAGCACGCTGCTCAACTCGAAGGTCGTCATGGTAACGGTGAAGCCCAACCCTGGCTTCCTGTCGGCACCTGTTGAGATCGACTTCCCTCACCTGCACAATGTGAGTCGCCATGGAAACCAGAGCACGGATGAACGTTCGTTCTGTTCTGTTCTGAACGTGTGTGTGTGCAGTTAAAGACTATGGAGGAAGTGACATATGACACAGATCAAACTCCCCCTAACCAGACCTCTCACGCCCGTCTCTCTCTCTCTCTCTCTGCAGGGCACTGTGAACGAGACCTGCATCGCCTGGGACGAGAGCGAGAGGTGGGTGGAATGCTTGTGATTCTGAGTGTGTGTGTGTGTGTTGTTGTCGCAGCTCTAAAGGTCACACACTCTCTTCTGCCCTCAGTACAGTGTGTCATCCCACACCTCCCTGACAACCGCTAATCATATGCAAATGACCCTTCGCCCCCTTAAACACATCACTTATGACCTCATGAATATTCACAGAACATTCAAAACCTTCGATGGTTCTTTTCACCATCCCACTACCCACACAAACACTCGCACACACTTACTCACTCTCACACACACACAAACACTCACACTCACTTACTCACTCTCTCTCTCTCACACACACACACACACACACTTCTGATCAAAGTTGGGAACCTCATTTCCATCTTTAAATCAAAGCATTCAGATCTCTGAACTCCATATATCTATTAGTATAATATTAGAGTTTTACAAATGTTCATTCAAACAATATTCTATTAAAGTCATGTATTTACAGGGAACATTCTCAAAATGCGCTGGCAAAGTTATGAACAAACGTTTTTGCAGTAAAATTATTAGAATGCTTGTTAAAAGTTATCTGATCTATAATACGGTTTTCATGAAAACGTTTTTCAGTTTAGTTGGATACAATGTATTTTTGGTAGCACAGCATTGACCAATCAGCATTCAGAACACAGCTATCCGTTTCTCTTTTTTCCGTGTGATTTTCCTCCTGTGACACTGGTGTGATTGTGTGGTCAGGGAGTCTTTGTCTCGTGCGTTGTGCTTTTCAGCAGCTGGGTTTCTATTATCTGTCATCTCCTCTGTCCTCGGACACATTGCTGTGATGTTGTGAACACATTTTTCTAATGTTTTACACTTCATATAATCCATTCTCTCAGCGTGCTGGCTCTGAGGGGAGAGGTAATTGATGAGCCTCAGAGAGATCAGAGGGTCAATCTGGCTGAAAGGCCAAGCTCTCAATCACACACACACACACATACACACACACACACACAGACAGAGAGAGACAGACAGAGAGAGAGAGAGAGAGAGACGGGGTTCACATACATCGCTTATTGGTGTGTGTGAAGATCTTTGAATTACACCAGGACTTTATTGGCATGAATGTTTTACATTTATGCATTTATCAGACGCTTTTATCCAAAGCAACTTACAAAAGAGGAATAAAGCAATTCATCAGTTTTACATGCAATATTGCCAAATACAGACTATACGAACACAAAGAGTGCACAAATAGTGATAGAAAGGAAAGCAAATAAATAAGATACTAAAAAATTATTAATGATGCATAACAACAACATAGTATAAAATAAAATGGCATTGGATTTATGCATGAAGAATATTTGCAGCCTTTCAGACGAAACATTCCTTAAAAATAGCTTCTACAAGGGTTTCGCAGTGATGCCATAGAAGAAGCATTTTTAGTTCCCAAAGAACCTTTCAGTCATCAGTTCGATATATAGCTGACTGTTAAAGAGCATCACTGTACTGTGGTCTGGAGCGTGATGTGTGTGTGTGTGTGTGTGTGAGAGAGAGAGAGAGAGAGAGAGAGAGAGAGAGAGAGAGAGTCTGGATGAGCTGCTCTGCTGCTGAGTGTGTGCGCGGGTTTATTTCACAGTGTGTCTAACCTTTGTGTGCGTGTGTGTTTGTGCGCAGCGCGTCTCTGCTCGGCTCCTGGTCCGCGCGCGGCTGCAGATCTGTGTCGCGCGACTCCAGCACCACATGCGTGTGTGACGGACTGTCCACATTCGCCCTGATTGCGCGACCGAACCCCGATCTGGTAAGTGTCCGATCATCAACGGACCGTCTGTGTTTGTGTCCGATCGCTGTGTGTGTGTGCGTGCGTGCGTGTGTGTATGTAAGTGAAAATCGATGCTGCCGTTAACCTCGTTCATCATCGATCGTCGGGTGATCGGATGTGATCGTCTTTTTTTTTCATCTTTATCTAACGACGGTTTGATCGACAGCTGATCGAGATGATGCGGTGTTGTGATCGATCGCTTCTCATCAGGACATCATGATCAGTGATGGATTCGATTGATTTCATGCATGTGTTTGTTCGGTGCTTTAATGCGTTTGTGTGATCGGGATCACTGTTTTTGATCTTTTTGGTGCAGAAGCAGTTGCCATGGTAACCGCACCCGCAGCCTCGCGCTGTAATTCGGTTATCAGCACCAAGCGAAAAAAACAGCCCCGCACTGCAACGCAACGCGTCAAAACAGAACGCTTCCGTTTATAATCACATATGCGCCATGACGGGAGCGCGCTGGTTTGACGCATCGCGTCGCGCAGTGCAAGCGGGTTTAAAAGACCTGTTATATGCCTTCATTTTGTGTGTGTGTGTGTGTGTGTGCGTGTGTGTGTGTGTGCGCGCATTAACACTGATGTTACTGTGTTTCTTCACAGAACATGGATAAGTCTCTGTTGCCGTCGGTTACGATGATTGTGGGTTGCGGAGTGTCGTCCCTCACCCTCCTCCTCCTCCTCATTATCTACGTCTCTGTGTGGAAGTAAGAAACTTACCATTGCGCTTGATTTACCGATTGGATGATTTGTGTACCGTTATATGTATTAACCTGAATAGAAACATGAAATATTATAAACTAAAAAGCCATTAATCTCATAATTAAAGACCAGTTTTTAGAAAGCAGAATGGAACTACAATAGCGTCAAATTCTGAATGATTGGATTTCATTAATTGTTTTTTTACTTCTCAGGTACATCCGTTCTGAGCGCTCAGTGATCCTGATCAACTTCTGTCTGTCAATCATCTGCTCCAATGCCCTCATTCTGATCAGTCAGACGCAAGTGCGCAACAAGGTGAGCCTGGGCCTGACATCGACCATCCGCAGCTCACGTCAGCTCTGATGGCAGACGGCTCACCTCTCGTTCCGTCTGTCTCTCACGCAGGTCATGTGTGCCTTGGTGGCGGCGTTCCTGCATTTCTTCTTCCTGTCCTCGTTCTGTTGGGTCCTGACAGAGGCGTGGCACTGCATTATTGACAGCATGTGCAGTGTTGAGCCTTCACTGACGTCTTTCTGTGTATTTTCAGGTCAACATGGTGATTGGAATTCTGGTTTTCAACAAGCTTGTGTCCAAGGACGGCATCACGGACGTTAAGCTGAAAGAGAGAGCTGGGTAAGAAATACTGTACACACCCGATTAAACGGCCCGAGTACTCCAGCCACACGCTCACCCTGCGGAGAGAGAAAGGTCGCGGAGTCGACCCATCCTGTGGCAAACCTGTGTACGTGTGCAACAGCGAGCTCTTCAAGCAGCTGGATGCCGATCTGGCCCTCGCTCAGGCCGAGAGCGTCTGTTCGGATGGCAGCAGTTATGTGCTCCTGCCCAACACCACCTCCACCCTTCGTGCCAAACCCAAGGACGACTCCAGCGGCTCCAGCAAATACAACATCAGCACTGAGCTCCCGCAGGCCCGTCTCATGCATCTGAGCGGAACCTACGCCGAACCTCAAGCCGCCTACGCCGTCAAGACTCTCCCCGCCGACCGCGTCAGCGTATCGTATTCGGAGCGAGACTCGCCCATTCAGAACATCCACAACATCTCCAGCGAGAGTCACGTGACCAGCAGTCTGGGCGACACCTTCGACTCCATGAACTCCATGATGTCCAAGAGCGAAACCATCTCCACCTTGTCCATGAGTTCTTTGGAGGTCAGTGAGGGGGTAAGAGACGCCATTTATTCTTGCTAATGCCACTGCTGAACACTGCATCTGACGAATTATGCAATGTACATGACACTAAAGTTTGCTGTCGCTCTTTCTGTTTAATTCTCACAGAGGCAGAAATCTCGTTACGCAGAACTGGATTTTGAGGTAGTTACTCCCTACAGAGTTTTCCATTGTAGATGAATGTATATCTACAACAGTGCAGTTTAAACCCTTTCCTCTCTCTGTCATGTAGAAAATCATGCACACACGGAAACGCCATCAGAACATGTTCCAGGACCACAACAGGAAGACGCATCATGCTGAGAAGGACAGGGAGTCTCCGGCGTCCGACAGCAAGGTGAGCCACTAAAGGAGACGGTCATTAGTGGAACTCTCCCATGTTTGCATCAGAGCAGCCATTATTTAATGTCCTGCAGACATGAACTCTCTTACTCTCAATCGTTCGGTCTTTAGAGTAATGCTGTCTTCTCTCTGCAGTCCGTCAGATGGAGTGTTTCCTCTGCTGGAAGCGACAAGACAAACCACAGCGTAAGTGTCTCGATCTTTCGACTGCCTGTGAAGCACGTTTTCTCATCACTGCCAACTGCAGGGTCTCTAACGCTGTTCCCGATGTCTCTTTCCAGGATAAGCAGCAGGGAGCAATGGATCGGTCCTGGGAGAGCATGAGCAGGTCACAGGCGTCTCCTCCTGCCTGGGTCCGGAAGGACATGGAGCCGTTGCAGGCATCTCCTCCGGATCTCCAGGGCGTGGAATGGGAGAAGGCCGGAGCGACCATACCTCTGGTGGGCCAAGATATCATCGACCTGCAGACAGAGGTGTGAGGGCACAGCGTTTAACCCTGAACACCTCGGTCTGCTTTTGATTTGGGAAAGAGAGCGGAAATGAAGGGATGAGCATGCAGAGGGCAGAAGGTAGAGAAGAACCCGAGAGGGGAGCGCTGTACCCGTCTGTCATTTGAATATGTGTCTCTCCGGCTTCAGAAGTAGCTCTCAGCTCAAGATGACACTGACCTCAGTCATTAGAAGGCGTCTGAACAGGGAGAAAGGTTTTCCGAACTCCATGCGAGGAGAGATTCCTGGTTGGTTCATCGAGAGCTTTTCCCAACATGCTTCCATCTGGTCCAGGAGGTGGTGTGGACGCCCGCCTGTGCCCCTTCATTTTTCCGCAATTCCATTTTGGAATGGGAGAATCTTCCCACAGGAGGGTCGAACGCTTTCTTGGCTGCTCGAGATTGGCCCTTTGCGGCCCCTTCCAGAGCGTTCTCTTCGGTCAAGAGGACGACGTCTCCCTTGAGCCTCTAGGGGTTGCTAGCTGTGCCAAATGGACACAAAGTAACTGCCATCGCTGTGGACTTTGTTTTTAGCGCTTTGCGTGAAGAATTTTTGGACGCTTCCATCAAACTTTGGGGAAATAATTGTGCTGAAAACTTGAAAAAGACTATAAAGAGCATTTACTTTCCATGATTCCTCTGTTGTTATTGTAACAAGTTATTATTATGAATGTTATTTCTTTGTTCTCATGATCATGTTATGATTTCGATGATCGTGTTTCTCCTCTTGTCTTCATACCTGTGTTCATCGAGGTTTATTTTTAACTACTGAATGAAACCATCCGTTCATTCCCGAAAACAGCAGCACGACGAACTATCCCAGCATGAGCAGCTGATACTCTCAGCATTCTGGGTAATGTAGTTGGAGCAGCAGTGACTGTGTAGCCTTGGACTCTTTGAGGACGAGCTGTTGTTTCCTCCTCCACTCCATTGGATCAGACCACTGTGTTCCCTCCATTCCCACCAGCGGCTCTTTCTACGGCCTTGTGAACGAAGCCCCAGCACACGTTATGGGCTCCTGCCCACCTGTGAACTTCCGCAGCGCCGGCGGGAGAAATTCCCAGTGCAGTAGTTATGCCAAACAATAGACTGGCATCAGTGCAATATGAGGACAGATGCTTGATGCCCAAGCAGGACTGACATTAGAATCTTGGCAAGATTTTGTTAACCATTTTCAGAGTTTTATATCATCTTTATAGAGCATTTAGAAACCTTTATGACAACACTGTTCACGGACTATATTAGCTATTAAACGAGAAGGACAAAACAAGACGTTGTGTCTTGCTGCTAAAAGAATGTTCAGGAAAGAAAAATATGATATAGTAATAGCCTAGAGATATATCTGACTGTGCTTCAGGAAAATGCCCTAGAGTTTTTTTACTTGATTCCTCCATATTGCTGAGACACTGAACCCTCGGTCGTCTGTACGGTCTCTTGTTTTATGAACCTGTTTGTCTCTGTGTGTGTGCCGATATCCTTCCTCGCGTCTCTACGTTCACGTGAGGTTCCCGATGTCTGTCTGAATCTCCAGCACCAGAGTCTCTGTGTATTTGACTTCCTCTTGTGATTGTACAGTTTTAAGAACAATAGGTGAAAGTGTCTAGTTTCTAATAAAATAAAAGTACTGAAAATTACACAGTGTCTGTTGTTCACTTTCCTGATGAAGTCGTTTCTGCAATACTAGCAGCACCAAGCAGAACTGCAAAAAATCATGACTGTTGGGTTTCCCGAGCACTCCCTCGTCATTGGTCAGTCAAACATCTCAGTCCCGCCCCAAACTCACATGATGTCAGAAGTTGAGATGCCAACAGATCAAACCACCATTGACTCACTCTGAACATGAAACTGACACCACAAACGTCACATACTACAGCTTTAATGATAGCAGTTTGGGGGAAATTCTGCTGTAAGAAGATGTCTTGTTTTCTTGCCTAATGTCTTTTTATGAATAAATATAAAATTATTGTCATCAACATCAATATAATTACTAATTATTTTTCCCAAAAGGCCTATTTCCATTTGGTCTATAGATGAGCAAAACGTTACACAGCAGCAGGATAAATCCAATGACTAACCTATCTATAATTTGGTCGTTAGCATCAGGCTGTTTCTCTCAGGAAAGGAATCTGTTCGTACACAGCAGGCATATTCAGCTCATTACAGATGAAACAAGGTTTCCTTTGTTTACAGGATCGCTATTAATATAAGAGTGCAAAAACCGACCTGAACTGCTGGACACCGCAATAAACTCATTACGTCAGTCGCAGTTTATTTTGTAAAAGGCTATGGTGTTCTGAGTAGTTGCTATTCAGTTTCTGAGGTGTTCTGAGTGGTTGCTATGCAGTTGCTAGGGTGCACTGGGTAGATGCTATGCCGTTGCTAAGGTGTTCTTGGTGGTTGCTATATTGTTGCTAGGGTGTTCTGAGTAGTTGGCATCGCTAGAATGTTCTTGTTGCTTGCTGTAGATTTGCTAAGGTGATCTAAGTGGTTGCTATGCAGTAGCTAGAGTGCACTGGGTAGTTGCTATGCAGTTGCTAGGGTGTTGTTGGATGCTATATTGTTGCTAGGGTGTTCTGAGTAGTTGGCATTGCTAGAATGTTCTTGTTGCTTGCTGTAGAGTTGCTAGGGTGATCTAAGTGGTTGCTATGCAGTTGCTAGGGCGTTCTGGTGGTTGCTATGTGGTTGCTAGGCAGAAGGAAGAAATAAAGACAACCAATGAATGATGATAGAGTTTTCACTTTCATTCATGGACTACACCTTTAATTATTATGATGATTATATTATTGATGATGATGATAATGGTGAACTGTTCTTCTCATCTATCACCCTCTCCATATGCTTCCCCTCACCGCTCATTTCAGTCCTTTTGTTTGAGCCAAAGCTCATGTGTGTCATGCAGTTAGTCAGTGGCATTTAGTATGCGACCCATAATGCACTGCAGCAGCTCTCATGTCAGAGAGGGCTGGATGTAAATACCGAATGCTCTCGGTGCAGCAGGAGTAATTGTGTGCAGGGCTGTTTTTTCATTTCTCATGACGGTATGAATGTGCCACTCAAACATTTGTGTGGGTTTTTGTCTTGTTTCTCTCAAGCCAAGAGAAGGTAATTGCACTGTTGAACATTGTGAGTCACATCATGGTGCTGGCGTGAATGAGAAAGTGGACGCTCTGGGATTACAGCTGCGCTCCTGCGTCACGGCAAAATGCCAGCGGACTTGAGAGTGCAGTTCAGCTCCGCAGGGAACAGCTCTCAACAGCCCAGGGATTCAACCCAATCTACTCAAGCATTCAGCTTACTGCAGTCTGTCAGATCGCTTCAGCTGAGAGAAACGTCTGCTAAAGAACACTAGACTCGTTTTCATCTGTGTTCAGTTAGTGCTGTTAATTTTTTTGTCTTCACCAGAAGGAAGATGGTTAATGGTTGTGATACAAATGGATGAATCTTATTTTATTTTAGTTAATGTATATGGTTTTAATAGATCTGATATGAATGCTACTCTTATGTCAGAGATTTCTATGCTTATTCTTGAAAAACGGCGTAAGTTCCCCTTTGCTTACTTGATTATTGGAGGAGATTTCAATGATATCTGCGTGTTGCAGGTGTCCCTGAATCTAACAATGAGAATGTAAACAATGTAATCCTGGAAATCTTTGGAAATGTTTCCCCAGAATCTAATTCAGTGGACATTGTACACAGACTTGGTCCCAAATCTGCTACAGATCGTTCTCGTCGCATCATTGTCCAATTTACCTCGCGCAGCGTAAGAGACAAAATCTGGAAAGATGCAAAATCTTCTGACTACCTGCGACGGAACAACTACAGGATTTTGGAAGACTTGTCATTGAACATGAAAGAGGAACGCAACAAACGGTGGCCTCTAGTGAAACAAGCAAGAGATGAAGGGAAAAGGGCATAGCAAATGGCTGCAATATAACAAAGAGTGAAAAATTTAAGGGGGTCTGAATACTTTCCGTACCCACTGTAAGTCACTCGTCACTAGTACTAGAGTTGCTAGTCATGTGCTGAAACTTCTAGCAGTAAGGATTCAGTTCAGCATGTGTGTCGTCCCACAGTTTGAATGAGCTACTCAGAACACCCTAGCAACAACATGCCAATCATCCACAACCTAATTCAGTGGACATTGTACACAGACTTGGTCCCAAATCTGCTACAGATCGTTCTCGTCGCATCATTGTCCAATTTACCTCGCGCAGCGTAAGAGACAAAATCTGGAAAGATGCAAAATCTTCTGACTACCTGCGACGGAACAACTACAGGATTTTGGAAGACTTGTCATTGAACATGAAAGAGGAACGCAACAAACGGTGGCCTCTAGTGAAACAAGCAAGAGATGAAGGGAAAAGGGCAGGTTTTAGAGGTGCTTTCGCATACGTAGAAGGTAAAAACAATATAGAGGTAAATGCCCTAACTGCACTTCAGTTCGCTTTAACATACTTTTGTTAATAGAGTGAAATTTGTTAATTTTGCCTTTTTTTTTTTCTTTTTTTTTTATAAAAATAAGCCATGATTGCCTTTGTATTCTGAGCAAGCTCAAACTTGTTAGTCTCTTTCTTTTTCTTATCCTTTGCCTATTTCTAACTTTATAGGTCAATTGTTTGTCTTAGTTTACATCGTTCACTAATGTTAAGTATTTCTTGTTTTTCACTTAATGTTCGCGGGATACGAGATTTAATTAAGAGAAAATCTGTATTTTTGTTTTGTAAATCGTTAATAAATCTGCAAAAATGTCAACAATTCTGTGTTTTTCTGTCAATATGGGGTGCTGTGTGTACATTAATGAGGAAAAAAAATTAACTTAAATGATTTTAGCAAATGGCTGCAATATAACAAAGAGTGAAAAATTTAAGGGGGTCTGAATACTTTCCGTACCCACTGTAAGTCACTCGTCACTAGTACTAGAGTTGCTAGTCATGTGCTGAAACTTCTAGCAGTAAGGATTCAGTTCAGCATGTGTGTCGTCCCACAGTTTGAATGAGCTACTCAGAACACCCTAGCAACAACATGCCAATCATCCACAACACCCTAGCAACCACAGAGAAACTACTCAGAACACCCTAGCAACAACATGCCAATCATCCACAACACCCTAGCAACCACAGAGAAACTACTCAGAACACCCTAGCAACAACATGCCAATCATCCACAACACCCTAGCAACCACAGAGCAACTACTTTGAACACCCTAGCAACAACATGCCAATCATCCACAACACCCTAGCAACCACATAGCAACTACTCGAAACACCCTAACAACCACATAGCAACTTCTAAGAACACACTAGCGGGGGGCGCGCAAGATGGCGCCGTGTTAACACACTCATACCTGTAGCTCGTGAGTTAAGTGAGCAAAGCTCAGTTTTACTTCATAGTTATGTGAAGTATTATAAATAGTTTTTCATGGTTTATTGATTTTTTTTTTGTGCCTTTTTTCTTTTTTGAGTTGTCGGACTTATTATGGGCAAACGTTCTACAAAAAACAGGAACAGAAGTTTCTCGAATTCACCATCGGTAAATCAGGTAGAAACCATGGTCACAACATATGACTGGTCACTGGTCTTAAAGTGATAGTTCACCCAAAAATTCTGTCATCATTTACTCGCCCTCATGTCATTCCAAACCCTTAAGACCTTCGTTTGTCTTAGGAACACAAATTAAGATATTTTTGATGAAATCCGTGAGCTTTCTGACCCTCCATAGACAGCAAGGGTCCTACCACTTTATTCCTCAAATTTGGGAACATAATAAATCAGTTTGTGATATTCCACTTACAATGAAAGAATTGGATGGTGTAATATCAAAGTCCCCTGTAAATACATCTCCTGGCCCTGATGGCCTACCTTTTGAATTTTATAAAGTTTTCTGGGATCACATTAAGGATTTGCTTTTTGAGGCTTTAAAAAAATGCATAGATCAAGGAGAACTAACCACCACTATGAAACAAGGTTTAATTGTTTTAATTCAAAAGCCAAATAAAGATATTCTTAATTTAGATAACTGGAGACCTATATCTCTCCTTAATATAGATTATAAGATTCTGGCAGCCGTGTATGCAAATCGTCTTAAACAA